TAAGTTCAAGTTAGGAGGTGCGCATATTGGTGTACCATTATTTGATTGTGTTTGTAGTGTTGGAGGGAATATAAGTGTCTAAATTTTACAGTGTGTCTCATTCATCCCAGTCACAGACGCTATCCTTCCACGGGTCACGGACAATTCATTTTGTTTAGTAGATTTAAGTGTTCTTGTGCTGGTTCGGGATTTTTCTCAAGGGGCGCTTCCACTGCCATTACCATCTAATAATCTTTAATGAACCCCAAGTCAAGTGAGAAAATAAAGTCCAGTAAATTCCGACCGGTTACATATATATATATATATATATATATATATATATATATATATATATATATATATATATATATACTGCAAACTATCGTTTCCCATTTTCTCGTGTGATTTTTAAGATATATATATATATATATATATATATATATATATATATATATATATATATATATATATATATATATGTATATATATATATATATATATATATATATATATATATATATATATATATATATATATATATATATATATATATATATATATATATATATATATATATATATATATATATATATATATATATATATATATATGTGTGTGTACATGTACATGTACATATATATAGATAGATAGATAGACAGATAAATAGATAGCGAAGCACAAAGCAGGAAACTCCCAATTCAGGGATGGGACACACTTTAGTTTTCTCTCATTTATTTACTCTAGAAATCACCCGAGAAGGAAAAGGCTGGGACCTAGATCAGACATAACTAGTTATTTAAATAATACTTACAAAACAAGCATCAACTGTTGTCATATTCAGATATTGGTATCACACAGTAGTAGGAATTAAACACTACACAATAAACCCAACCCACCAGCATAACATATGGGGGTGGTGTAGACTCACTCCAGGGTGAATGTCTGGAGAGCAACGCTAGAATTAGCCTTATTCTGGCTTACAAACTTCCTCCACGAGATCCATGAGATCATCACATTCTTCATATAACATTCATTATGCTCAATCTATCAAACACAACCTAACAAAGCTAGAAATACGTGGGACATACCGGGTCCGACTAATTACCCAAATGTATCCAAATGTAGCCGCAATGAAGTCAAATAATGCTCCTACATGAATAAATCGGACTGCCAATCACTTCTCAACAAGTATTTGGTGTCACAAAGCAAAAAAAAATTGGAAAACATAATTGAATCTGAGTTAATAGTTCGAGTGCATGTACCTAACCTAACCTAACCTAACACAACACGACTCAGATTAAATTAAGTTTACCAATTTTTTGTGACTTATGACACCAAATAATAATCGAGAAGTGATTCACAGCCCGATTTACGCTTGTAGGACCATTATTTGACTTCATTGCAGCTACATCTGGCTACATTTGGGTACACTTGGGTAATTACTCGCTCCCTCGGTACATGCACGCTATCTATCAACTCGGATTAAATTACGTTTTCCAATTTTTTGTGACTTTGTGACACCAAATACTAGTCGAGAAGTGATTAGCAGTCCGATTTATTCATGTAGGACCATTATTTGACTTCATTGCGGCTACATTTTGCTACAATTTGGTACATTTTGGTAATTAGTCGGACCGGGACATACTTGCTACTGGGCCCACCCGACGCGTCTTTGAGATGTAAACAACGCCATAGCATCTCTCGCCCCCCACCCCCCCCGGGGCTGGGATACATTCGTTCTGCGCGAATTCACAAAATATATTTGTTTTCCTCCTCATACCACACACACACACTCCTCCATACAAATGTTTGCCGATGGCGCCAAGTTATCTCGGGAAATCAAGAACCAAGCGGACTGTGAAGAGCTGCAGAAGGACCTCTCTGGGCTCCAGGAATGGTTGCTGAGATTCAATGTCACTAAGTGTAAGAGGATGTACCTGGGGTGTATCAACGGTAAGGAGGCGTATCATATGTCCCAACGGGATGAAGAAACTGCACTATTTGAGACTGAATGTGAGAAAGACCTAGGTGTGTATGTTGACAATGAGCTGAAGTTCTCGGGCCATTGCGAGAAGAAGGTAAATCAGGCAAATAGATTATTGGGTCTTATAAGGTCGTTCAGATATATAGACGGTCCGTCCCTCGCAACGATCTTCAGGAGTGAAGTGCTTCTCCATCTGGAGTACTGTCACCCCGTCTGGTCCCCGAGATATGCTGGGGACTGTCAGTTGGTTGAAAATGTTCAAAGGAGGGCCACCAGACTGGTGCCTGCACTTCGGCACCTCAGCTACCCTGAGAGATTGGAGCTCCTGAACTTGCCTAGCTTATACTACAGACGGGCAAGGGGTGACCTAGTTGAGGTGTATAAGCATCTCAGGGGACACTACTCAGTTGAGTGTCCTTACTCGGAGCTGGCGGACGCTCGCCCCCACAAGGGGTCACAGCTCAAGATTGAAGAAGCCCCAAGTCCAGAAAACTGTGAGTGCAAACTTTTTCGGAGTGAGGGTTGTAAACTCTTGGAACAATCTACCAGTGTGTGTTGTGACGGCACCGAGTGCGAGCTCTTTCAAGACAAGACTTGACCAACACTGGAGCGGGTTCAGGTACATTCAGGAGCCGGTGCATGCCCAGTACTTGCCAACAGTGTGTAACAGAGCCAGTACATGCCCAGTACTTGCAGACAGTGTGTAACAGAGACGTAACCGATCGCCCAAGCGGCAAACGAGACGATCAGTGGTGAAGAGGATAAAAGTGTAAAAAAGGCGGGAAAGAGGGGCGAAGTGTTTGATGGGGTAGGTAATCTCTCTGTGGGAGGATACCGGGGGGGGGGTGTATTATGCAGAATACTGGCGGTGTTTCCTCAGCCGAGTCGTTCATTACGTTACTTAATTTACGTTTTATTCTCTTCGTCGCTGATCGGTCTGTTAGGCAGTCGGTTACGTCTGTTACACACTGTTATTAGTTAGATACTGGCTCGCTTTTACACACTTCCTGGGCAAGTACTGGCTCTCTGTTACACACTGTAACTGGGCAAGTACTGGCTCTGTTACACACCATTACTGGGCAAGTACTGGATCTCTGTTACACACTGTTACTGGGCAAGTACTGGATCTCTGTTACACACTGTTACTGGGCAAGTACTGGCTCTCTCATAAATGCCATTAACAATTTAACACAAATGGTCCTAAAGGAAAGTAGAATGGAAGCAAACGGTTTTTTGTTATTTAAGGACAAACTTGTTTATTTTTTTTACCCCATTGCTATTGTCGCAAGTATTTATTTTCGACTTTCAGGAATCATGTGTGGGCGGCAGGCATGGGTGGGTGTATCGTGGGCGTGTATGCTATGGGCGTGGTTGGCTACGGACGTGTCAGCGGCTCCAGCAACTAAAAATAAAGGGAATTCTACAGTAAGTTAAATTGTCTGTTTAATTTGGTAGTCTCTCTCTCTCTCTCTCTCTTAATTGATTGATTTTTAGTGCCTTCAAAACTATGTATGTATGTATGTATGTATATGTATGTACAGTATATATGTATATATGTATGTATATCTATCTATCTATCTATCTATCTATCTATCTCCCAACAGATGGTAACAGTGCCGTCAGACTTGCTGGTACAGTTGTGGGGTACGAGTTGTTTGGGGTTCGCACTCAGGATGGGATGGAGAAAGGAAACTCACAATGTGCTCTCTGTATATATGTTGTATTGAATGTACAATGCAGCTTGGTGCTGGGAAGGCAGCGTGGTTACAAGCGTGATGTAGAGAGAGCTGGTTGGTGAGGATGCTCAGAGGAGGACAGCTTGTGGGTCGCCATGCTCGCCGGCGGGAGCTAGGACCGCCAGGGAGGAGGAGGAGGAGGTGTTGCTTGCTGGTTGGTGTAGGTAGAAAAGAGTGGTCACCACGAGGTCAGGTCTTAAATAGCGGAGGTAGGCGTGGCTTAGTAGTTGACCTCCATCATGTAAGGCGGCGCTGGTTGACCTAGACCACGAGGCATACACTGGGGAATTCGCGGGGTCGGCTACTCAGCGACAAACAGCGTTTGTAGGGGAGAAATCCACTGCACAGTTACTGGACGTCAGCAAGTCGTTACAGAAGTTACTACCAGCTGACATCCCCATCCTCCTGCTTGATGTCAGCCCCGAGGAAGGTAATGGGACTGTTTTGTTGTTCTTGGGTCTATTTAACCTCATTTAGCATAGTGGGGTGCTGGTGGTAGAGTGGTACCGCTCTTGCCTTCGCACGCGAGATGTCACGGGTTCGATTCCCGGACCGGTGGAAATTGTTTGGACATACTTCCTAGCCCACTAGTCCCTGTTCACCTAGCAGTAAAGTAGGTACCTGGTGTAAATCGAAAGTTGCAAATTCGTATTCAGGGACAAGTTGTTGGAGCTTCCAATAACTTGATGACATAAACCATTGACTCTTCAGGCTTCTATGCCCTTGACTCTTCAGGCTTCTACGCCCTTAACTCATGAGACATAAAGGCAAGCATGAACTTAGCATGCTTCTCTGTTGGGCACTGTAAACGCTTCTGCGCTTCACCTTACACAAGGATGTAGGGGAGTGCCTAATATAAAAAAAATATAAAAATTTAACATAGTTTTAACTACCCTAACATAGTTTAGCCGTACTTAATCTAACCTAAAACAAACCTTAACTACCCTAATTAAGCCTTACTAATCTTAAACTAAGCTAACCTAACCCTAATTAAACCTTATTAATCTTAAACTAAAATAAATATTAAGTTAACCTACCCACACCTAAGCTAACCCTAACCCCCATGTTTGTTGACAGTACTGGCTCGGGTTAACGACGAAGGACCAAACTCACTGTTAACTCTGGCTCTACGTCACCACTCTACTGCAACAACGTAACGAAGATTTACTCACCCAACAAGGTCGCTGTACTGTCCAGATCGAGGCTCCACAGGAGGATAATCAAGAACTCCGTCTACACCTACAGGATTGCAAGAAGAAACTACAGTACCTTCAGAGAGGCCCTACAGATACTACAGAGGATGTTAAAAAGGCGTTAAAATAGATGATTTATGTCCTTGTAGAGAGAATTTAACAGAAGCATAGTTGGAAGAGAGGAATTTTGTAGGATTGGATTGTGTCTGTGAGAAAGTGACCATACTTCCCAAGACCACACCTGCTCCTGTGTTGTTGGGTACTGGGTCAAGGTGGGTGTGTCTGCGTCTGTCTGTCTTCATCTCTATGCTTTCCCAATAGAATGAAGGACTCTCTCTCTCTCTCTCTGTCTCTCTCTCGTATTAAGTCAATCTCTCTCTCCCCCCCTGTCCCCCCTCTCTCTCTATCTCTCTCTCCCCCTGCCCCCTCTCTCTCTCTATCTCTCTCTTTCTCTCCTCAACAGAGTGAAGGACTGCGCCGGTCATCAGACTGAAGGGGCGACCGAGAGTGGAATGTATGAAATTTACCCATCAGAGTAAGTATCACATCCTTACACCCTCCTACACATCCCTATCCATCCTTACACACCTTTGGCACCCTCTTTACACCCTCCTACACATCTCTACACCCTCCTACACATCCCTATCCATCCTTACACACCTTCGGCATCCCCTTTACACCCTCCTACACATCTCTACACCCTCCTACACATTTAAAGAATTTTTAAAACTGGCTGTAAATGATTGTTTGTTTTTATTTAATAACAAAGCTTATAAACAATGTGATGGTGTTGCTATGAGTTCACCTTTAGGTCCCACGTTGGCCAACGCTTTCCTCTGTCACCACAAGAAGCTTTGGCTTACCGAATGTCCCCCCCAATTTAAGCCTTTGTTCTATCATCGGTATGTTGATGACACTTTTTTAATTTTCAGATCACGTGATCACGTCCCTATGTTCCTAAATTATTTAAATTCGAAACATGGCAACATCAAATTTACTTGTTGTGAGAGGTTGGAGTCATAGACCACGTTCTTTGTAGACTTTATTCTAACAGCGTCAGCTGGAGACTGGCAACCGGGCGCTGCCAAAGACAAGCCCCCATCTCAACATGGGAAAACATATCGTACGATGGTACAATCTTACAGTGTATTAGTGTTGGTTGTAACAGTGATCACAAACGGGTTACGAGTGGGTTTTTCCTGAGGACGTTCTTAAGTCGAATTTGTACATAAGTCGGTACACATGCTATCTGCATATCGTACTTACAGAGCAATGTTTAAAGTCCCACTATATCATAGCCTAAGTCCTTTTATACATCCATAATCACTTAATTGAGGGCGCCAGTGGTAGAAACGGTATCGCTCGTCTCGCAAGCGAGATGTCACGGGTTCGATTCCTGGAACGGTGGACAAGTTGTTTGGACATACTTCCTAGCCCCAATTGGTCCCTGTTCACCTAGCAGTAAAGTAGGTACCTGTTGTAAATCGAAAGTTGCGAATTCGTATTTAGGGAAAGTTGTTGGAGCTTCCAATAACTTGATGACAAAAACGATTGACTCTTCAGGCTTCTACGCCCTTGACCCTTCAGGCTTTTATGCCCTTAACTCATGAGACATAAAGGTAAGCATGAACTTAGCATGCTTCCCTGTTTGGCGCTGTAAACGCTTCTGCGCTTCACCTTACACAGAATGTAGAGAAAAAAAAAAAAAAAAAAAATTTAAGAGAAAATAAGAAATGGAATGACAGAATACAGTAAAGGACAGTAAAAAATAAGTGATTAGGTAAATAACATAGTGTAAATTTCAAGTTTAACTCCATTCGTATTAGTGGGCGTTCCTAAGTCAGTGACCCCCTGTAGGTCATCAGTGAGGACTGTCCTTTCAGACCACGTGTGAAAGAATAATTTATGTTGTTTGAGTTTAGCTTAGTGTGGAAGTGAGGGTAACCTAACTCGGCAAAACACACCTGGTTTGGTGTGGTTCTCCTAATGCTTATTATATGCTTTAATGCCCAATTCAAAAGCTCTACCACTGGTTTTAAATTTGCATGCACCCAAGCCTCGCAACACAAGTGTCCACCTGAGTGGTGCATGAAATAGCCATCGATTTACAAATAAAAGGCATATCACTATTCTTTCTGAGAAATAATACAAATTTCATTAGATGACACATTTTGTTCCGAGCAAGAAGTGTGACTGCCATCGATACTAAGCCACCACAGGTGAAAGGATAGTCTAATTACGTAGCTTGAGCAGTGTTCAATTACCAGACTATTCACACCAAACAGCTTGCCTTATCTGGCCCTACCACTTAATATAAAACGATTAGGTTTTGTCTTGATTTACTTTCATCTTATAGTGCTGCAATAATGCCACTTTTGAAATCATATTGCTCCTACTTTCTACAATTAATGCAGTATTGTCCATCAGTAGTAAAATGTTTAACCACTCTAAAAATTCAATTTAATTGACTTTTTTTTTTTTAATTTGGATAAGGTACAGTAACTAAAAAATAATAATAAATAGGAGACAAGATGTTGGACAGCCTTTTCCTACACACCCAAAGGGTCGTCATTATAACTCCTGATAGCTATCTGGGTCACAAACAACTTATATGTGTCTCTGTGTGTGGGCGGAGAGCAATGCAACCAGTTGTATGTTATGTCCACCGATCTTCCTGTACAGTAATTATGAAACATAATATCTTCATTACATTAATAATTAGTCATTTAAAGAGGAATACAACTAATCCACTGATTATCTAAATTTACGTGAGCAGGTGAGCAACTAATGAGTCATGAGTCACTTACAGTTGCATGATGTTCAGTAATCATGCTCATTGATTCCTATCCAATATCTCCATTGTATTCTGATATTTGAATGGATACCCCTATCACTATGGTTTTCTTCTTCTCGTAAGCAGGATATTAGCACATTTTTATCATCCATTAGCAGTAATGTTGGCTGACATTCATACTAATATCCTTACCATCTCTTTTTGATGAGTCTTCGTTTGAATCAAACCGCTCTGATGCCAGTTCCACTCTGTGTGTTGGTGGGAAGTTCGGCATAGTGACCTGCCATCCACGAAGGGTTAACAGGCGATATGCCCTCCACTGCAAATGTATCATGAAATTCTCAACTGAACTGTACAGTCAGGGTCAAAAGTTAGTAGGGAGCAGTGTGAGTGAGTTACAGGAATGAGTCTCCAAACATAATTACCTTGACTGTCATCTGTTTTGTTTCATTTAGAGTTGATACTGCTTCACACAGACTCTTGACCCTGACTGTACATCTCTACTGTCCAATGAAAGAAGAAAAAATGTAGACAAGTGATAATGTGGGATAAACAACCTGGTTGACCACAACTGTGCTGCTTGTTCAACATGCATAGGAGAAGAGAAAGTTGAATCCATGTGAACCTGCCACTATGGCTCAGGGGTATGTAAAGCACGAGGATGTTGACCATTAACTCCCAAACCAACTTTCTCACTGACTTCAGAGTCAATCACTACATTAAGGAAAACATTTTAGGCTCCATATATAAGTGGGTTGAGTATTTATTTTTACAGCACTTGCTGTACATTATTTTCAAAAAGTAATGCTTCTGACAAAAGTTATTTTTCCTGACAAAGGATTATGTTGGTAAAATCACATGCCTATATGGTATTGAAACTAAAAACTTTGGGTAAACAAGTGGTATTAATAAAGAAGTTAAATACCCTGGTGGTTAGCTTAGTATATCAAGTATCTTCTGAGATAAAGATGCTTTTTTGACATCTTGTGAGTCAGTCAAATGTTTCAACAGCGGGATAAGTGGGTGTTGCTTCATTACTGCTTGTCCTCTTTGATTATTTGATATCAGAGCCCAAAGAATTACAAGAGCAACCTCTGACCACGGTTCATCCATTTTGTCTGTAATAATTCCAATAATAGTTTTAATAAAACCATCTGATGTAAACAAAGAATGTGCTGAGTGGTGGTTCAAAGACATGTTGGCCATAATTCTGAGGGCATCCTTCTGTAAACCATCATGCAAAACAAGGTCATGGATAGTGTTAACCCAACCATATGACTTACAAACAGTTATCTGGGATTCATGATGTGTTGTTAGAAGAACAAGAAGCTTCATTGTGCTTGGTGTGATAGACATACCTTCATCAGTAGCCATTTTGCTTTGAAGCCACTTGATTAATAAACTTACTAAGTCAAGTTTATTCATGACATAGGCACACTCTTGCACTCGTGCACAGTTCAGTAAAATAGAGATTGCTGTAAGAAAACTAACTCTGGAAAAATTATCAAAGCACAGAGCAAATCCTCTACTGCATGTGAGCAATTTTCCCAGTTGCTGACACACTGTTGTAGTGATGCATGCAAGAAGAGGCCTTTTTGTACGAGATGTACTGAGTAACACACCAGGCATTCCACTTGTACGAGTCATAAATAAACAAACTTGATAGTGAGCTGAAGCAGTTAACAAGAATCTCAAAACAGCTCCTAAGAGAGGTGGTGTACGGAGTGCAGGTACCCATAGGGGGTGAAGCAATGGTATGATTGATTCACCTATATTCACTGACCAACAACCCCTTCCTTTAACCCAGTTTGTTACCACCTCCAAGTGCTGTATTACTGTGCAAATATCATCTTTAATTTCTTTCTTCTTCATTGGTTGACTTGTGATATGAATATTAATAGTCTGAAGTTTGACTTGGAGATCAGAGAGTGGCTTTGAAAGAAAAGGTATCAGGAAACTACGAAAATGGTGAGCAGCTTCCTTTGCACTTTGTGACACAAGGAGCAATAATTTGAGACAGTCTAACAGCAGACAAAGGTGCTCTTTTTCTATACCAAGCACTTCAGCTTTATGCTTTCTTGAATTTTGTTTATTTGGGTCCTCACAGTCAGGCAAATCACACATCAACTGAATAATGTGACGAGAAAGTTCCCATCCTGGACACACACTTTGGTTGTTCAGTATCTGAACAGGTACATCCAAAATCCCAGAAACAGTTGACTGAAGGTCCTGTTGCAGTGATATTTCATTGAGGAAAACTTGACTTAAAAGATTAGATAAAAAAGCTGCTGTTGCAGTTTGCAGCTCAAGAGAAGCACAGACATGGAGGCCAGCTACTATGGGATGAAGGGTGAGTGCAGGTGACACAGCAATCCATTGAATGATGCGAACTGCTCCCCAACTTCCCCCACAAATCAAGGCATTTAATATCTCCAAACTAACAATGATGATACTGGTCCAGTCTGTGCCTGAAGATAACACTGCCAAAGTGAGGTGTACAAGATTTGTATCACGAGCAAGTAATGGTGCTTGCTCAGGGTCATGCTTCAATACTGCTCCAATTAGTACTAAAGATGTCTCTACTGCTTGCAAATGAACCATTGATATTTTAATTTGACTAACAGTGAAACGAAGTTGTTTTACAACCAAAGAAATAATACCATGTGAAGACATTTGTGGAATTACTTGGGAAGGCTGAAGGAGCACAATATTAACAAGGAGTCTCAACAGAGTTTCATATAGCTGGACTGACACAGGGGTAGATGTGGTATTATCATCATATGAATTTTCATCACTTTGACTTTCTTTATTATTGTGGTCATCACTATTTATTAAGTAAAAAGAACTGAGTCGACTCATAGAGAGATCTAACTCTCCCTGGGTGTTAAGTCGTGCATTTACTGGCAACTGATCATGTGACACATACAACTTGGACAAGCTTGAATGCACTACACTATACAAGTTACAGTGCTGAAACAAGACCATCAGCGCTGCCAGACCTTCCACTGATTCCTGCAAATATCAAATATATCAAGAATTAAAGACATATTTTTTTCAGATATAGTTGGGTTTCACTTTACGCGGTTAATGTAACCCACAGGGTACCGCGGAAAGTGAGAAACGCGTAAAGTGAATAACATAACATATGGGATTAAATGAAATAAAGACCGGCTGACCCCCAAACTCCACTTTTTCCAACACAATACCTATGTTCTAGTAAAAATAACATCTTAATTTTATGATGGTACATGCACACAATTAATACTTAAGAGAAATAGAGAAATACAGTCGCCAAGTTAATGTCCATTCAAATAATGGACTCAACTCCCTCCCCCTCTTCTCACAATACACTCCTGGCTCTTCCCTCTCTGAGAAATTTTTGGGGGGAAAACCAGATATAGTAATAAATAATACCTCAAACTAAAGTTAGGATAATATAATTGACATTGCTGGATTCCTTGTAAGACCAGGAATATTTTGAATACAAATGTCATATATTTTGCACAAAAGATAACATATTTACTCAGAGTAAACATTATATCTAAAATTTGTATGTCTAATGCAAAATCTATGATGTTTATATTCAAAATGGTCATCAAATTGTAAGAATTCCAGCAATGTAAATTATATTCTGGCAGGGTAATTTGTATGAATTTTATGAGCTAAAACAAATATCTTCAGTTAATAAAAAAAAAATATTCTTCACGACACTATCTGTCAATCAAAGTACCCCACCTTGCCTCCCCCCCTCTGCCACCCCGGCCAGATGGTCGGTCCGTCCCAACCCTCCCCCCCACCCCCCACCAATCCTCCCTTCAAGAGAAAGGCTGGGTGAAAAAACTAGATTTTAACATTTAGTATTAAATAATACCTCAGATTAAAGTTAGGATAATATAATTGACATTGCTGGATTCCTTGTAAAACCAGGAATATTTTGAATATAAATGTCATATATTTTGCACAAAAGATAACATATTTACTCAAAGTAAACATTATATCTAAAATTTGTATGTCTAATGCAAAATATATGATGTTTATATTCAAAATGAACATCAAATTGTAAGAATTCCAGCAATGTAAATTATATTCTGGCCGGGTAATTTGTATGAATTTTATGAGCTAAAACAAATATCTTCAGTTAATAAAAAAAAAAATTTTCTTCACACCATGGTGCCAGTCGCCGGTCCCTCCCTCCCTCCCACCCCCCACCAACCCTCCCTACCAGACTGGGAATACCAGACTGTTTACCTTTTTAGTAATAAATAATAAATCAGACTAAAGTTAGGATAATATAATTGACATTGCTGGATTCCTTGTAAGATCAGGAATATTTTGAATATAAATGTCATATATTTTGCACAAAAGATAACATATTTACTCAGAGTAAACATTATATCTAAAATTTGTATGTCTAATGCAAAATCTATGATGTTTATATTCAAAATGATAATCAAATTGTAAGAATTCCAGCAATGTAAATTATATTCTGGCCGGATAATTTGTATGAATTTTATGAGCTAAATAAAAAAAAATTATACTTCACCGTGTAAAGGGGTACACCCACCGCGGAATGTGAGCATCCTGGGTTCTGGCAGGGCACCGTGTAAACGTGGAAACGCGGAATGTGGGACTGCGTAAAGTGAGGGTTGACTGTATGTCGTTTTTGCTTTTTGTTTAACTGTTACTTATAAAGTTTAAGTATGTTTGGTGTGTATTTAAAGCATACTATATTTGAGTATGTGAAAGTACAGTAATATTATAATGGTACACAAACTATTTAATATATATATATATATATATATATATATATATATATATATATATATATATATATATATATATATATATATATATATATATATATATATATATATATATATATATAAGAGTGAGTCACTGTGCAATATGTATTTTTTGTGGGGGCACAGGAGGGGGGGGGGCCGGCGGCGGCGGCAAACTCAAGAGCCGCCCCGGGCGGCACACACTCTAGCTACGCCACTGGGTCACGGCCAAACTATTTGGCCGAATTTTGTAAAAACACGTATTAATTCCGCATCTAGTGGATTTTTAAGACAAGTCTAGCAGATTTTCAAATTTCTTCATGAAAAGGCTGGGTCAGTGACCTCACCTTGTCATGACTTCACCTAATCAGTGACCTCACCTCTTCACATGATTACGTGACCTACTGAGCTGACTGACTTTACTAGTTACTACCTTAGTTGTTAGTTCTCATATTTGAGTTGTTCAGGCTGAACGTGTCCAGCATATGGGTTAAGCTTCAGAGCTTACAAAGCCATCTGAGTTACTTTTTGAACTTCTGAGTGCTAGTTTTCAAAATGTCCACTAGTAAATGGAAAGGGTCCTACGACAGTGGGAGAAAATATAACAAATCATGGGAAGAAAAATACGTCTGGGTTAGTATAGCCAGTGATGGAAGTGAAAGTGGTCCAGTTCCAAGGAAAATGTTGCAGAAATTTCAAAGTAACACCACACATGATGGAGCTATTCAACTCTGCAAACATGTATGAGAAGGAAGAACCAGGGGAAGATGACGAACTAGACGTTTTTGCTTACGTCAACTAGTGTTATCAAGTTCTCCACCATTATCATGCTCCACCACCATTTGAGAATAAGGTAAATCTCCACTGTAGATTACAGATATTATGTTTCTGTAATTATTGGGCTCTCAATTCTATGTGAAAATTTGGTTTTATTGCGACATTTTAAGTGGATATTGTAGGGGAGACTTTTATTTTGTGTGGATTGCAAAAACAGCCATGTGCTTCCCATCCAAAAAGATTTGGCCGTGAGATGGCGCAGGTGTTGGCCGTGCAGCTTGTCATACATCTGGCAACCCTGGTCACCAGGCGTCAGTCTGGCTTTGTTTTCTGTGGAGAGAGCATCCATTTTGTTGGCGTCTTGAATATTTTTGCATTTTTCATTGAAATTATTGGTCACTCTGAACTTAGATAACATATTGATAATATATAGCGCAGTGCAGTGCTGATTTAAAGAAAATAATCTTGAATTACACCTAGTGAACTTAAAATTTTATTGGTGAAATGAGGCATCAAGCATGGGTCCACTGAAGGTGATTTTTCCTCCACCTCCACTTCCTTCTTTTCTCCCTTCTCCTCCACCCCACTTCTAATTCCCATCATCATCATCAGCCAGGAGCCTTCTACATACACACCTCAAAGTAAGTGTACTTTACTGATTTTATTTATTTTTTTACTTTGTATGTACTTTTCGGTGAGCTGGAACCAATTACCCAATATCCCATTGAAACAATGGATTCGGTTAACAAACGACCTTCTGGAATGAATTGCGTTCGATAACCGAGGGACCACTGTAGTATTTTCACCCAGGACCCAAGGGGACCATACTACATATAGTTATTAAGGATGTAGAGCCACTTGGATTATTAAGTTAGATCCTCATTTGGTCTGCATAATTCATAGCAGCTGTGTCTCAGACAACCTGTTTTCACCATTGGATTGTGCAGTCTGTTACGTGCGGTCAGTCAGTGGACATTTAGCTTGGTCATGTCCATGCTCTTGTAGGCGTGCGGCTTGCGGGCTGTATGGATCATCGATAACTTGAGCTTACAGGTACCGGAGGCATTGGTGGTAAACAGGACAGTGATGCGCTCCTTCTGCATCTTCCGGCCCCGAATCTTGCTGGCATTCTTCACAACGAAAGTCTTGGAAGGTAGCTTCTTCCAAAAAAGACCAGATTCGTCCATGTTAAACACCTGGTCGTCGGTGTACTGTCCTTCCTCCATAATCTCACGTAAAAACGGAGGAAATTCCCTAGCCGCAGCACGGTCAGCACTAGCTTCTTCACCACCAATGTTGATATTGGTGATTTTGTTCTGCATCTTAAACCTCTGTAACCACCCAGAGGAAGCATTAAAGGGTTTGGGCTCTGTAATTCCCATCTTTCGTGACACTGCAGCATAAAGTTCACATGCGTACTCCTTAACAGAGCGCGTGTCGACTGCCATGTTCCGTCGCGCCTGACGCACCAAGTAGCTCACAAGTAATTTTTCCATCTTGAAAAGCACCTGGTTGTGAAAATACTTGATCATAGAAGCACCTGTAGACTTTGTGATCTTCATGTGCTCCTTTATCTTGGCTGCATCCTTCTTTATCGTCCGGATCGTAGATTCGTTCACACCATGCTGGCGCGCCAAATCAACCTGTCTTGTTCCTTTCTCTAACTCTTGGATGATCTTGTACTTCACCTCGTAGCTTAAGGAACATCGTGTCTTCTTGGGCTTAGGGCGGCTGGGTCCAGGTAAGGAAAGGCTTCTCTCTGGGGGCGGTGGTCCGGCGGAAGTCATTTTACAGAACAATGGATGCACGTTTACACGGTGTGGCCTGGAGCGATGAAACTGCCGCGGCTAGGTCAAGCGTCGTCTTTCCTCCCTCCCTCCCTCCCCCGGGTGGACACGTCATATTACTTTAAACCAATTACAGCTAGCAGCAGAGGGAGGTAGGGCTGCAAGGCCAATCACAGTCCGATACGTCATATGACGTCAGTGATAACGCAACAGAGACATGCACTGCGCAACCTTACCGCACGGCTTGGCCAGGCAGAGGGAGGAGGCGGGTGGGGCGAATCTAAATATAGCGTCGAGCCGGACACTCTCCGAGTAAAGAGGTACACGCACCGCGGAATGTGAGCATTCTGGGTTCCGGCAGGGTACCGCATAAACGTGGAAACGCGGAATGTGGGACCGCGTAAAGTGAGGGTTGACTGTACAGTACATATAATGTTTCTCACTCTTTATTTTTTTCATTTTTGTATTTATTATTATTATTATTATTATTATTATTATTATTATTATTACTACAGTGACCCCTCGTTTTACGAACACCTCGGTTAACGTAATTTCGATTAACGAACTGCCTTCCATAAGGATCTTCAATTCGGTTAACGAAAAACAGTTCGGTTAACGAAGTTCTTACGAACCGACCTCAACATATTTTCGCTTGCACTGACCGGGC